GATATAGAAATGAAAGAAAGTTATAGTGCTTAGAAGGAGGCAATTCCGGGAGAAGTCCCTTAGGAATAAATTCGGAAAAATTAATTTCCGACCTCGCTGGGATTCGAACCCACGACCTTCGGATTGTACACCGATGCTCTACCAGCTGAGCTACAAGGCCAGACTGGGAGCAGGTCGGGGTGAAATAGATGTTAAGGTTGCGGTAATAGAATAATGTAAAGATATGAATATGAAGACCGCATGGCACTATGATAAACACGATATAGAAATGAAAGAAAGTTATAGTGCTTAGAAGGAGGCAATTCCGGGAGAAGTCCCTTAGGAATAAATTCGGAAAAATTAATTTCCGACCTCGCTGGGATTCGAACCCACGACCTTCGGATTGTACACCGATGCTCTACCAGCTGAGCTACAAGGCCAGACTGGGAGCAGGTCGGGGTGAAATAGATGTTAGGTTGCGGTAATAGAATAATGTAAAGATATGAATATGAAGACCGCATGGCACTATGACACTAATAAAAATGTAGTCATTCTACCCTTTTAATGCAAATTGCAGATATTTGCATTGCGAACACTTTTTTTTAGATATCAGTGTCATAAGTTCAGACCTGTCGCATTTTACGGAAGTCCACGTGGGTTCATTGTTACAAATGTGCATGAGAACTGGCAGAGTTTTGAAGCTCGCGAGCCAGCCATATATTAACGTCATCAGACGTGAACGACCACGTGGGCTGTGCATGGTCGCGCGCAGTCATGTCACCACCAAAATACTCTTTCAACAWGCGATTATGTCCACTAATTAATGCATTCTGTTGTTTTTTTTTTTTGTTTTTTTTTGCCAGTGCTGACAAGGCTGTACAACGTTGTCTAATCAACGCAAATTTGAATGGAACAAGAGATGAACATCRAGCTTAACATCACAGCTCAGCCAATTTTCCATGTCGATTGTCAAAKTAGYCMAGAAWAACTTCATTGTCAAAGCCTCACACGCCAAAATTATGTACACAAAAGACACCCTGGATCAAGATTTGTAGGAAAAAAACAGAGTTCACAATGTAAAATGTCGCAGTAGTTTTTAAAACATTTTGAATTAGCATATACTAAATATAGTTTTTAAGCTATTTAAAAATAGCATTGCAAATGATAAGTAATGCCTACAATCTTCAATACATACGGACAGTGGTTAGCTTCAAGCAAGTTGTAATAGTAACGATATATGTTCGATGTCGAATCTATCAACACTTCGATATATGTTCGATGTCGAATCTATCAACTCTTCGATATATGTTCGATGTCGAATCTATCAACTCTTCCTGCTCAAATATATCAAGGAATCAGTTTAAATAAAGTTAAGTGTTAAGCCAGTGTTACGTACGAGTTCTGACAGTTATTCAAGCCTTTCAATGACAGATAGAAGAATTTGTGCGATTTTTTTTTGTCACAGTATCTTAGTGTTAAAAACTCGTACGTCAAATCAAATTCAAACGTTATAAATTTGAGACGAATAATACGTTTAGTAGTCGAAGCGCACATAGAAAACAGTGCGAGGCTCGATGAATAATGGTCACGTGGTCAGTACTAAACACAGGTAACCCAGGCTGAATAACTTAGTATTAAATATATCGTACGCTCAATACTTTATTTTTTTCTTAAAGAAGTTTATTATAACATAAATAAAACGTCTTGTTTAGAATATTTCGATGTTTAGAGGTTTTACGCCATTTTTGATATGCCATTGTTTAACCTACTTATATTAAAATAATTTTAACCAGGAAGGTAAGAGACGTTTTATTTATGTTATAATAATCTTATTTAAGGAAAAAATAAAATATGTGGCTTACGATATATTTTGTACTTAGTTATTGAGCGTGGGTTAGGTTTACGACACTCCACTAGCTGCCACTTGCGTAGCGTGATAACCCTAACCCGCTGATTGGATGATAAGATGATAATTTATTTCCATAAAATCAGTCGTGACTGAACAGCCGTAAAATAGGGCCTGATTTTGTAGCGAAAGGATCA